CACGTTGATGAAGCGTCTCTGCATTATCAATATCTGTTACACAAACCAATTTGTTTAGGCAGCCCCACGGATAAAAATCCAAAGGATTAAGTTCGAGGGAACGTGCAGGCCTTGGAACCAGCCCTCCCCTACCTATCCATCTTTTCTGGTAGATGTCAGCCAGTTCATCACGAACAATGTGATCAAAATGTGCTGGAGACTCATGATGCATGAACCACATGCGTTTTCGTATTAGCAGGGGTACATCCTCTAGCAGGTCTGGAAGTGTGTTCGAAATAAAGACCTTGTAGACAGCTCCTGTAAGACGTACTGGGAGAACATATGGACCTACCAGACAGTCAGCTACAATTCCAGCCCATATATTAATTGTAAACTGATGCTGGTGTCTAGCCTGTATTGTACCATAGGGATTCCATTTTGCCCCAAAATGTTGATTGTGTAAATTTGTTATTCCATCTCTTCCAAATGTTGCTTCATCCATAAACAAGACTGAAGAGACAAACAACAGATCAGCAGTTTGTGCAATAAATGATCAGCATAAGTTTTCCTGTGGTGAGTGATCAGAGTGCAAAAGACCCTGCACACTTTCCAAGTGATACGGATACAGGAGCTGCACTTGAAGTACCCTCCATGCGGTACTATGAGATGTACGACATTCTAGGGCCACGGGACGTGTGCTGACACCTGGATCGTCCCTGATAGCATGTAGAAAGTGTTCTTCGTGGTCAGGGATACAAATGGATCTCGATCTTCCTCGATCCATGTCTCAGCAACGCGACGATAAACAGCAGAAAAGGTTGATGACTAGGCAGCCTTCGGTCCGAAAACGCAATCTGATACAGCCGTGCAGCCTCGCATCCATTACCATTCAAGCAGCCGGTTATAAAAATCATGATATGAATATACTTGTTAAACGGAACAATTCTTAATTAACTCACTTCTGCACACATTGAAGACAGACTATGCATAAATGTACACGAATGACAAATGTAACCTAGTCTACATGACAAAACAGCGCCATGTACAGTAAACATTCCTTAATAAGTCAAAAGAGAAGGATCTGCTGTTTATATGGACTTTATATGGACTTTTGTCCGGGTTTTGTTGTGAAGAACTCGTCCCAATGTTTGTAAAATTAATTTTGATACGCATTATATATATATATATATATATATATATATATATATATATATATATATATATATTTGGTTGGATAGATGTGAGTTTGTGACCCTGGGTTTTCACGCTTTAGCGGTCGTCTGACGATCGCTAAAGCGTGAAACCCAGGGTCACAAACTCACTTCTATCCAACCGAATATGTTATTTCTATCTCTAATATTGAGCGATTTCTAATAAGTACCGCGCATATAATATATAAATAATTATACATATATACATTTCGACAATTATTTTAAGACATTTTTATGTTTATACATTCTTTTTATAGATACTGTTTTAATGATAAATATTTTAAAATAATTGTCGGACTTTGTCCATTTCATAATGTGTGACGTCATTTGTTTACATTTGGATACGCATTGAGCAGATATGAATGTACGTGAGAGATTCATGGAAGATTGTAATTTAAAAGCAGTAAAATCGATCTGGCTTATAGGATGATCCTCTGTGGCCCAATCGGTTAAGGCATGTCAGTCTATATGACGGTTCGTGTAGGATACAGGTTCGATTCCTGTCGGAGGACGAATATTTTCTATGAAAATTTCTCGGACATTCGGGCCGGTAAATGTTGTTTAATACTCTTTATTATAAACCGAACATTTACTTAATTATTTGTATCTATAAAAAGAACGTATAAAAATGTCTTTTTTTTTATTCTTTTTTATTTATTTTTATTTTATATATATATATATATATATATATATATATATATATATATATACTGCGGTTACCCCACTCCTAGATCTATACTATTAGATAGATTCGATAAGGTCAAACTGGCAGCTGATCTCACCTTTAATCTGTTGTTAACTGGGGCAAGAAATGGTTTGTTAATATTAATACCTGAAAAACGAAACTGCTTTCTTTTAATCGTCTGCGAGACATTTTTTTTCTTTTTGTCTTCTGCTATTCATGGTTGATACTGAGCTCCAAGCGAGTGACAATCTTGCAACTTCTTGACCTAATGTTTTACGTTGACATAAAATGAAACGACTGAATCAATTGCTCGGTTTGCTGCTAGGAAGGTTGGCTCACTGTGTCGTGTTAGTCAAGATCCTAGAAAGACTGAATGAGTAGCGAAATAACGAATTAACTATAAAAATTAATTTGGAAACAATAAGCAAATAAACTAATGGAAATGATAAAAAATATATTCAGTGATGAATGGAAGTTAAGTAAAGAAACGAATAAGAAGGAAAAGAAATATGATAATTGAGTAAAAGAAAGAAAGGGGGGATATTGACATGTTTTTACGGCTTATCAGCCCATTGCAGGTTATTTAAAGCTAGAATATATTTTTAGATTGTAAGAATTTTCATTTTTGTACATAATAATGATTTAGTTATAAAAGTCTTATTCCCATAACTCCGGGGAGAAGTGGATTTATCCCTAATCACAATTTGATAAACAAACAAGAAACTGTTTAGCTCATCAGTATTTCATTGATTGATTCATTCGTTTTCCATGGCTTATCAACAAACAAGAAATTATAATGTGGATATAAAGTGGGGGATCAATTCTACATTACAATCACTATATAAACCGATCCCTCATTTTGTGTCCACCGTAGTTTCAATACATTTACATTCCAGAGAATGTAAATAAATCTAAAAGACATTCCTGTTTAGCTCATCAGTATTTCATTGATTGATTGATTCGTTTTGTATGGCTTATCATCAAACAAGAAATTATAATGTGGATATAAAGTGGGGGATCGATTCTATATTACAATCACTATATAAATTGATCCCTCACTTTGTAGACACGGTAGTTTCTATACATTTATACTCCAGAGAATGTAAATAAATCTAAAAGACGTCAATGTTTGACTGGATGATTGATTCGTTTCCTACGGCTTACCAACCTTTTGCAGGTTATTTAAAGCCAGAAAATAGTTTTTTAGATTGTAGGAAATTTTATTTTTGTACATAATGATGATTTAGTGATAAAAGTCTAATTAACCCATAACTGCAGGGAGAAGAAGTGGATTTACACTTAATCACAATTTGATAAACAAACGAGAAATTATAATGGGAATATAAAGTGGGGGATCGATTCTATGTTACAATCGCCATATGAACTGATCCCTCACTTTATAGACACGGTAGTTTCCATATATTTATATCCCAGAGAATGTAAATAAATCAGTGTTTCATTGATTGATTCGTTTTCTACGGCTTATCAACCCTTTGCAGTTTATTTAAAGCCAGGAAATAGTTTTTTAGATTGTAGGAATTTTTATTTTTGCGAATAATAATGATCTCTATCTATAAAAGGCAGGATGTGTGTGTGTGTGTGTGTGTGTGTGTGTGTGTGTGTGTGTGTGTGTAGCGAATGCACGGCCGCAATTTTCGACGGATTTGCACCAAAATTTACATGCACACGCTCCAAGTTAGCGAAAAGGCCAAGACCGACTTTGCATTTCCCAACTCCCATCGATAGTGGAAATAATCGATTTTTTCATGCTTCTACGGCAGTTTTCATGTACTTTATGGTCTTTTTCTACTGGCCACAATGAAAGCCAATAGCTGGCTGCCACGATTAGGCAAGAAGATTCTATTGGCCAGCATGAGAGCCAACACGAATGTTAACTAGCATGCTAGCATGCAAAAAAATCAATAGCTGCATTCGTCACAAGTGGGAAAAATTTAAATCTGCATGGCACTTTACTCCTATTGGCTCATTCGCTTGCTTAAACTCAACGTTGATTCTGATTCCGCAGAACTGGGTTGGGTGTGAAAACGTATTTATTGTTAACATTCTTTTTTTCATTCGGTTTTTCCAGTTACGAGTCCTTTTTTTAAAGCTGATCGTTTTGTGTTCATTTTGTTTAGTTCTTTTTTCGTAACAGATTTAATGTTTAGTATAGAGCTTAGAAAAAATTCGCAGTGTGAGATAGGCAAGAAGTAAGGCATGTAGCAACATCAGCACGGCAAAGGGCACTCCTTTAAAGGCAAGGAAGGGCAAACATATTTTAAGTCAAGATTTTTTAATCAAGCACGGGTAACGCCGGCCATGCTGCTAGTTTAGTGATAAACGTCTTATCAAATCTGGAAGAAAAGAGTTAAATTTGCGCGTAAGTGACTCTGACGAACTCAACTGGAAGTGAAACTCGGCTCTCCGATTAATATTTCTGAAGAATTATCCATTACACCACCCGCACATCCACACTTATAGCATCTGGTATCCCCAAGCGGTCACTGACCAGACTCGACGTTGCTTAACATCGGTGATCGTAAGGAAGCCAGATCTCCAGCGTGATCTGGCCGTAAGCTGACATGTCAATATAGGCAACAAAAAGAAATATCTGGGATGAGGAGTTATTAATATTTACCCTGATCGACAAGCAACTGACGAAGGCCGGTGGGCACAACGGTTGAAACGTTATGATAACGACAGCAAAGACGAGTCCGCATGTAAATATAATGTAAATAATAAAAAGAAAATCGAACCGAGAAACTCGAGAGTAAATCTAAAACCAGAACCGGAATCCGGGGACAAAGATTAATCGAAATAAAGAACTAAATAATATGAAATAAAAATAAAAATGGGGTTTGGGGAGAAATGACATAGAAAAGAGACATTCGTTTAAACAGGAAGATAGAAAACTAGAAAGAGAGAAAAGTGGAAAGGGAGAGAACTCCCGACAAAGGAAGAAGCATTTAACGGGGGAAAAAATTCTTTGGTAGCATTAACAATGGAGGTAGAAATGAAAGAAGAAAAAAAATATTTTGCGATTCAAAGAAAGGTATAAAGAAAAGTGTAAAATAAGCTAGCTACAGAGAGAGCGAGAGAAAAACAGGGGAAATATTCTATGAAACAAGAATGGAAGACATTTCTTTGACAAGGAAGGTGAACTGGCGATTAAAAGGGGGTAGGTAGAAAAAAAATGGAGTGAAAAAAGAGGCAGGCGAGCGAAGAAGAAGCAAAATGAAATCAAGTTTGTGGCTGTGGAGTAAAAAAAAAACTATGACAAAAGTAAATTTATTTCAGCATCGCCGGCGACAGAAATGCGTGGCGTTGGTGCTGTCGTTGGAAAGCAATCTTGGTGGAACGATGCGGCGTCTTGTCTCGTCTTCTTGGGCAGAAGCAAAAAGGCATATCCGCCATGTTGGTCGTTCTTGTGCGCATGCCCAATCGATCGCTACGCCGTCGGAATGGCGTCGCCTCTATTAGCACCTTGCCCCTAAGGATTTGTCATGTTTCGGTTGTGGAAAAGGAGCGATTGGTTAAATGTCGAGTGTAGAGCTAGCTGATACTGGAGTGGGTACTATTATATTGTTATATATATATATATATATATATATATATATATATATATATATAGAGAGAGAGAGAGAGAGAGAGAGAGAGAAAGCGACTAATGCAAACAAATACTGATAGATATTGGCGTTTAAGTGAACAGACAGATCGATACGAACGCACGCGCACACACTTACCCTCACACACACACACACACTCACTCTCACACTCACACACGCACAACACACTAATTCACACACACATTCACCAGCACACACGCTCACTCTCACACACAACACTGTCACTGACACATTCACACACTTGCGCACACATACTACCTCCTTAACACACACACTCACTCTCTCACACACACAACGCATGCACTCACAAACACACATTCATTCTCACACACACGTACACGCTCACTCTATCTCTCACACACTCACACACACATACACATTACACTCTCTCACACACAAAGTACTCACTCTTACACACAAAGTACTCACTCTCACACACACCCAATCCACTCATTCACACACAGACACACTCGCACACACTCACTCCCATACACATTCCCTCACGCACACACACACATACTCATTTTCAGACAGACGAACATACGGTGTTTACTCGTTGCCCCACGAGGACGAGATATAACACAAGGTCTTTTTAAAGTGGGGACCCGAGAGCGTGCACCCGGGCAAGGGACAAAAATTGCCCACAGCTCCCGCAAGCGTCGGTTGTGCTGGCCCCGGTGCGAGCACCGATCCCTCTCTCTAGTGCAATGGGAGGGCTCGGTCTCGGACAGCTGTTTCCCTAGGGCTGGGCACCTCTCAATATTATTTTCTCGGTTGCCTCTCTGTCCTTTGACAGAGAAGCCCCAGGGCGCACCCTGTCCAAAGACAGAGACGCAACTGAGAGATGATAAATAATGTGTTACAATTTACTTTATAGTAATACATACTCTCGCACACATAATACACTCACTCACATGCACACACAGAGAACGCACTCACTGACACAAACACTCTCACATATGGCAACTATGAGCAAATATACTTCTTTAAAATTTCTTTATATCTGTAGAGAAAGAGAGCGTTGTCAATTAATATAGAACTTTTATAGGTAAAGATAGTGTAGACATGAGAAGCATCAATGCATGGCAACTGTCGGTTTCATGCCTTTTCAGATCAAGGATATATTAGGTGACTTCAATAGTTTCTACAGACATAAATTAAAATAAAAACTTGTTTTCAACTGTTTGTTCAGTCTCGTTTTTAAAAGAGACAGCGATCATTCAAGCTTTCAGTAATGGTACCAACATTCATATTCTGGCTTCCATCTTGAAAGCCCATTCAAGAACCATCAAGAGAATGGTGAATAAGTTTAAAAAGAGAGGGAACAGTAGAGAGGAAAACTGGATCAGAAGGTCAGAAAAGCAAGAGGGATCATCATTTCAACTTAGAGCTAAATACATTCTTATTGATCAAAGTAGAGTCCAATAGTGTTATAAAAACCTCGGAGAATTCCAGTAAGATATCTTTAATCATTTCTGAGATACAACGGCTCAAAGCTTAATCTAACAATTGAACTATTTTGCTTTGACACGATATATATGTGTGTGTGTATGTGTGTACACGCGCGCGTGAGTATGTGTGAATGTATGTGTGTTGTATATATATATATATATATATATATATATATATATATATATATATATGTATGTATGTATGTATATGTTACATATGTAGAAATGCATGTATGTATGTACATATATATGTGTGCATATGTTATATATATATGTATATATATGTATGTATGTATATATATATATATATATATATATATATACATATATATATATATATATATATATATATATATATATATATATATACATATATACACATGTAATTAAAGTGGAGAAACTTTTCACTTCTTTGAGTCGTTTTATTTAAGCCAGGATGCTTGAAATTTCCTTTGCGCATTGATGTAAGGCCTTCACCCTTCAGGGCTATTTTTACAAGAGCCAAATCCGGTCAAAAATGGAGTATTGCTGCTCAGTCCTCGTCTGCTTCTCTTGATGCAGTTCAAAAGCGTCTACGCGGCCTTGTGGGGGGTTACCTTCCACTTTACAACCCCTTTCCCACAGACGAAACGACGCAAGCTTCTTGCTACTCTATGGCTATTTCCATGGCAAGTGTTGTCACAGGCTATAATTCTTCGTCCTACCAGCCCTGACCTTTACAACTGGGAGCCACCATGCCGCGTACACAAGGGTGAATCATCCCCATTCCTTTCATATTCCATTTGTAAGGAGTAAGTTCTACTCTGGCAGCTATACCGCAAGGACTGCTGCTCTGTGGAACTGACACCTGGTCGGATGTCTTCACGATCATTATAATCTTAACCTCTACAAGTCTAGGCTCAACCCTTATCTTTCCATGTATAACCCTATGAACTTTCCAAGGACAGCTGCTCTGTGGGACAGACACCCGGTCGGATATGTTCCCAATCACTACAATCTTGACCTCTACAAGTCTAGGGTCAACACTTACCTTTCCTTATTAGCGCTATGAACTTTCCAAGAACTGTTGCTTCGTGGAACAGATCTTGAGTGGCTCTTAGGGCAACATTAGCATAAAAAATAAAAGCAGGCTCATGTACGCGCGTGCGTATATGTGTAGTGGGTGTACGTCTCGTCGTTTAAACGGAGCTTGTGTCAAAATTTCCCTTATGTGAAGGCAAATAAATAATCATATTATACGGTTCCTGTTATGTCTCATTTATTCATAACAGCCCCCCCCTTTTTTTTCACCATGTATCGTGGTTAGTACATTGGTGTTCCGATTATGAGATCAGGGTTCGAATCTCACCATGGTCGATTTGTTACGGAGGTAACTTCTATATAATGGCCACCTGCAAAGACGATACCAGCAGACGGCCTCGTTGTGAAGTGCCTGAAAAACCATACCACGAAGTCATCGTGACCGAGGCTTTGAGTGTATAAGCCTTCTTCAGCGACTAATCGAAGCAAGTGATTCGATGCCAAACCCCGCCCCAGCCTTCGAAACTGTAATTTAAGCCGCTCAGGACATTTGCAGTGGAAAACACAGGTCGGCTTTGTTGGTGTTGAAAAGATCGTAAATATGCCTGAGCACGCGTCTGCAACAGGGATTATCCAGAGTCTGTCTATATTTCTGAGATGAGGTATTATGTACAGTATTTACATTAGTCGGACTATTGTCCTCATCTTTGTCGCCATATTTGTTACAACGTTTCCTCAACGACACATGGCACAGTGGATAAAGGCGTTGGTTAGATCCAGTGACAGACCCAAAGAAGGTGAGTTCAATACCTGGTTAAGGCGGTGGAGAACTTTCAGAGGGAAAATTAGCAGGAGATAACTGATAACTGACATCCATCAAACATGGCACGTGGAACTAGAACAGTCTACCCCAGTGATCGAAATAAAGGGTTCAGTTCGAAATTCCAACCACCTGAAGAAGGCTGGAGCGTACAACGGCCGAAACGTTGTGACAAATATGGCGACAAAGATGAGGACAATAGTCCGACTAATGTAAATACAGGGATTATCTATTTTTGCAGACGGGCATACATGAAAACGAACAGTTAGACATTTACTTTTTATTTTATATGTACAGGAGGCGATGGGTAAACGGCATGTTCTACTGCTTGGCATTCGCACCGGAAGCTCCAATAGGAACATTTCAAAGTGTTTCGGTGTAAATCTGTGGACGGTGCAGTTTGATTTGGTTTGATTTGTTTTACGGCATGACAACCTCAATGTGTTATTTAATGCCGATAATTTTTATTTCTGGTAATATTTTTTCTTCAGAAACGCAACTTTTTTTTTCAAAAATGTATTGCTGGTAATAAATATTTTTTACAAAGTATTTCTGTATTAAAACTTATTTTTACACTTACATAGTGTTTTGACCCCTTGGGGGTGGCTAAATATTTACCCATAGTTGTGACCGTAACAGTTGCTACCACCCCGGGTCAGGGTGAACATGGGAACACCAGCAAGTAAGAGGTGGTTCCACGCTCCTCAAAATCTCCTGATCAGAGACCTTGCTGCTGGGCGTAGTTTATCGTCTTACCCAGGACACTTTCCATATCCTCTGCACTGTCCTCTCGTCTTGGGTAAGACGATAAACTATATCCGCATCCTGGGTAAGACGATAAACTACGTCCAACAGCAGGACGTAGTTTATCGTCTTACCCAGGATGCGGATGTAGTTTATCGTCTTACCCAGGATGCGGATGTAGTTTATCGTCTTACCCAGGACGCGGACGTAGTTTATCGTCTTACCCAGGACGCGGACGTAGTTTATCGTCTTACCCAGGACGCGGATGCAATTTATCATCATACTCAGGACGAGAGGACAGTGCAGAGGATTTGGAAACAGTTGGATAAGTCTAATGGTGATTACGAAGGTGTTTCGCGTGATCACTAGTGATGGCAACGTTATACCTCCATACATCTTCCCACAGAGCTGCAGAATCAACACTGTGGCCTACATTAAATGTCTTGAGGAGGTAGTGCTGCCCTGGGTCAATAGGGTGGCTGCTGGAAACCCTATGTCTGGTAACAGGACTCTGCACCATGCCACACAAGCAAAAGACGCCAGTGATGGCTGTCAGATAATTGCAACCACATCACCCCTTACATCTGGCCACCTAACTCCCCAGAATGAATCCCCCCCTTGATTATTATGCGTTGGGGCGCAGTTGAGTGAGAGACCAACAGAACTCCTTGTAACACCGAAGATGAACTGAAGGCAAAGATTATAGCAGCATTCACCAACTTAAACAAGGAGACCGTTCAGAAGAGTTGCAGGAGACTCCGAAGTCGTCTGTAGACCGTGGTTGAAGCTAATGGCATTTTTATTGAATAAATGTACTCTTTAGTATTTCAAGATATTTTTGCGTAATTTTGGTAAATATATCTGTTAAAATGAGATGTCAATGTTATTTTCCTTTTTGCATAATTTAGACGACAATTCATCTATCGCACCCTGTATGTATACGTGCATGTATGTGTCTATAGATATTCATATACATATATGTATCAATGCATGTATCTATGCGTGTTCATGTACATATATATATAAGTGTATATGTGCCTACATGTGTATGAGCATATTTTATATACTCATATATATATATATGTGTGTGTGTGTGTGCATGTCTATGTATTTATAGATACATATATATATATATATAACGGTGTGTATGAGAGAGAGAGGAAGAGTATTTTGTTGTGCTATTTAATGTCGAAGTCAGAATGCTAGCATGAAATCATAAGTCATCGGGACCGAGAGTGTGATTGTATTGGCTTTTATTTTTAATACATTACATTGTATATTTAAGCGGTACAATTTTCATTTAAAGCGACTTATGAAGCGATGAAGAGAAGTCAACAATAACTGATTTAAATCCCTGGAGGAAGGCATAAGGGAAAGAATTATCTACTCCTTATAGATTAAGGAATTTAGCATCCAGTTTAAATTATCAAATAGCAAAGACTTTATTTTAGAATTGCGAACCATATACTTGGTGTCTCTAACATTTAAAAATTTTTTTTTTTTTTTAATTTAAAAATCATTTATAAACTCTTAACTTGGGGCACACCTGGCTACCTTTCAGGGCGCATTAGTTCACCCTGGCGTACCTGTTGAAAAACATTAGTCTAGTCTCGTTAACCAATACATCATGTACTGTACTGTACTGATGCGGCATTCACCCTGGGCGGATTGAGCCGGCTTCTTCCTGTTATGAGAAGAAGATTCTTGGGATAAATTACAGAAGTAGGGTACCCAGGCCTACTCGGATAACGTTCTTGCTTGCCGTGGGGTTCCCACAGACGCAGAGACAGGAACGACCAGAAGCCGCCGGTTACCGATGCAGACGCTCCTTGGATTTTCACCAGAGCCCTTGTTAGCCGGCGTGTGTCAGACCTGTCCGCCTTGGGTGGCCTACCAGGAACGAAGTTCCGGGCGGCATAGCTCTGATACTACTGTTTACACCCCCCCCCACCGACTGTGAGGTAAGGGTTGGACTTTGGGGGCTTACAGTACCAGGTGTTCCAAAGCGGTCCCCCATCTAAGTACTGACCTGGCTCTACGCTGCTTAACTTCGGTGATCGTACGAGAACCGGTGTTTCAGCGTGATTTGACCGTAAGCATCATGCAATACATCATGCTGAGGTATTGCACTCAAAGTTGTGGTTTGAGGGGCTAAATAATGATGCAAAATATTTTTTTTCCAAAATCGTTGCTTCTTTTTGAGGAAACGAGATTGAAAATTAAGTTTAAGTTAAAAATTGGAGCATTGGAATTTCATTCCTGTGATCAATGAAATCCTTACAGAACAGCCTTATAAGATTTATAATTGAAATATATTCAGGTATTTGGTTTGAAATTAAAAGGGTTAATAAATTCCATAACCAACAACCATTTGTCTTCAACATGAGCCAGAGAATAAAACGCCAGTCGAACGAAATATAGAATGTTGCATTAAAAATTTGTAGCACAAAAATATTTTTTCAGATAGACATGAACAGAATGAGATAGATAGATAGATAGATAGATAGATAGATAGATAGATAGATAGATAGATAGATAGATATGAACAGACTGGAAAAAATAGATAGATATGAACAGATAGAATAGATAGATATGAACAAATGGGATAGATAGATAGATAGATAGATAGATAGATAGATAGATAGATAAGAACAGACTGGATAGATAGATAGATAGATAGATAGATAGATAGATAGATAGATAGATAGATAGATAGATAAACAGACTGAACAAATTGAGACAGATAGAGATAGATAGATAGATAGATAGATAGATAGATATGAACAGAAAGATGGGATAGATAGATAGAAGAATAGAACAGACTGGGATAGAATAGATAGATAGATAGATAGATAGATAGATAGATAGATAGATAGATATGAACAGACTGGGATAGATAGATATGAACAGACTGGGATAGATAAGATAGATAGATAGATAGATAGATAGATAGATAGATAGATAGATAGATAGAGATGAACAGAGATGGGATAGATATGAACAGACTGGGATAGATAGATAGATAGATAGATAGATAGATAGATAGATAGATAGATAGATATGAATAGATAGATAGATATGAACAGACTGGGATAGATAGATAGATAGATAGATAGATAGATAGATAGATAGATAGATGAACAGATAGATCTGGGATAGATAGATAGATAGATAGATAAAAGATAGATAGATAGATAGATGAACAGATGGGATAGATAGATATGAACAGACTGGGATAGGGATAGAAATAGATAGATGTGAAACGACAGACTGGGATAGATAGACTTTATGAACAGATGGGATGAAATAAATGAATGATAGATAGATAGATAGATAGATAGATAGATAGATATGTCAACAGACTGGGATAGATATGAACAGACTGGGATAGATAGATAGATAGATAGATGAATAGATAGATAGATCAATTTTGAATCAACACAGACTGGGATAGATGAATATGATAGATGGAAGATAGATAGATAGATAGATGAAGATAGATAGATAGATAGATAGATGAATATGAACAGACTGGGATGGAATAGATATGAACAGACTGGGATAGATAGATATGAACAACTGGGATGATAGAGATAGGAATAGATAGATAGATAGATAAAATTGATTGATTGATTGATTCAAGTTCCACGCTTAAATAGTCTGCAGATGCTCCTTAGGTGTGCAAAAGGTCGAGTCGATTTAGAAACCGTGATTTTGCACTCTATCTGAAATTTGGAGTTTGTCATTATATATGATAAAAAAAATTTTTTTTTTCTCGAAATAGTTACCGTTTTCTGAGTAAATGATTTTAAGATTAAGTTTAGGTTCAAAACTGGACCGTTGGAACTTCCTTCCGGTGATCAGTGAAAGCCTTATAGAACAGCCTTAGATATAATTGAAATATATATGCCGTAAGTTGGTTTGAAATTAAAAGGGATAATCAATCCCATAACCAACAATTGTATATCTTGAACATGACCCAGAGAAGAAACGACAGCCGAACGAAATATAGAATATTGCATTAAAAACTTTATAATTCTTTCACCTTACTTCCAGAAAATATTCTTTTCTTAATGTTGAAATCAAATGAATTGCAAGTGACGGAAGAGGCTATAAAAAAATAAATCGGTCTATTAGATAAGTAAACATTTATTCATACTTAATTAGTTATGTCAATTTGCAAGATTAATTTTTAAATTTTCCAATCCAATTCCATCACAAAAATATAACCTAGTATGGACAAATTTTCCAATATTTTTTTTGTTTTGTTTCAGAAATAGCGAGCCACCAAAGAAGAGATTAAAAATAATTACATTCATCAATTTTGAATCAACACACTCGTCAAATTTGATTAATCTCTCACAAAATGGAGTTTGTGAAGCTGCGTTTGCAAAAGGTTTTTTTTTTTGTTTTTTTTTTTTTTTTTTCAAATAATGAAATGCAAGAGGTTCTATTGAATGGAACGACGTTGGAGTAGCCGAATTTACCTGCACATTCGCAATGTTTCCAAAGTGTAATTAAAAGAAAAAACTTGTAGTGCCAACGAATGATTTATTTCATGGAAATATTTCGACAAGCTGTATTTTATTTCCATGAAATAAATCATTCGTTGGAATCTAAACTAAAGAATACATATTCTTTTCTTTTAATTGATATGCGTAAAAACTAAACCCAACTAAACCAAAGACAAGCGTCCTAACTTTGATACGAATAAGACATGGACCTCGCTAAAAAAAACGTATGCTCTTACTTTGTCATCAACTTGGTTTGTTTTCTTTGATTGAAATTCTTAAGCGTGTCGAGCTTCTTTGCACTGTTTTTACTCAAATTAGGGAGTGACCAAGACTGGCAACTTCTACTCGAAATATTTCCATAAAAAGTAAATCATTCGTTTGAACTACAAGTTTTTCTTTTAATTATGCAACTATCAACGGAGACAGGCGTCCTAACTGGAAAGTGTAGTTAAATTAACAACTGAAGCTTTAAAAAAATTGTATATGGACAAGAAGCAAGGCACACGCGCATTATAACTAAATCTTTATGCCATCAATACAGCCCTCATTTACTTCAAAGGAAAATTATACTCAACAATGTAGCTATATTAGTGTAATATAGAGCAGTAGTTTTAGTGATTTTTCAATAAACAATGCAAATTTAAAACATTTTGTCTGATAATTCGTGCCCATCAATATTATGGTGTTATATACACTTTTATCTATTTCTTGTGTTTTATTAATTCTAATCAAACAAATGTTCTGGTAAATCTTATTCATTGAGTAACTTTTTTGTTAATCTTTTACGATTTTTACAGTTTTCACTTATCGAATACAGTCAAATATTTTATATTTTGCTTGTGTTTATTGATAAATAAGAATTCTGGTTTGAATATATATTTCCCATTCAATGCGTCTAACACACAAAAAAATATCAACTTTATTTGAATTTATTCTTGAAATAGTAAAATTCTGAAGTCAGTTTGTAAGCAAAAACCTGCGAAAATTAGTGATTTCTATACATTTTTCAAACGATTTTAAAGTTAAATGCTCAAAAACTGGTACAAGCTATAAATCTGATTTTTAGTGTCATTATTTATCATAACAATCCCCAACTTTTACACTAAGTGCAATGTTCATTTTCTCAACGCAAAAATCGAAAGAAATCAAGCTGCCCTAACGTATATAATCCAATAGCATCTGCCCGTCCTGGGTAAGACGTTAAACTACATCCGCGTCCTGGGTAAGACATTAAACTATATCCGCGTCCTGGGTAAGACGTTAAACTACGTCTAGCAGCAAAGTCTCTGATCAGAAAGTTTTGAGGAGTGTGGAAACACCTCTTAATTGCTGGTGTTCGCAGCTCCACCCTGACCCGGGGTGGTAGCACCTGTTAGGGTCCCAAAGAATACTATTCTATTAACTATTACCAGCAATACCTTTTGAAAAAAAAATTATTACCAGAATACAATACAATTTAAAAGGAAATATATTACCAGAAACATATTTTTGAAAAAACAAAATATTACCAAAAGAATACATATTCTATTCATAATAACAAAATTTTGTTGGCATTAAATAACCCATTGAGGTTGATATGCCGTAAAACAAAATAAACCAAAAAACAATCTAAACCTAAAAGAATACATATTCTATTCATAAACGAATCTACCCTAAAAATGTTGTCGACATTAAATAACCCATTGAGGTTGATATGCCGTAAAACAAAATAAACCAAAACAATCTAAACCAAAGAATACATATTCTATTCATACGAATCTATCCTAAAAATGTTGTCGGCATTAAATAACCCATTGAGGTTGATATACCGTAAAACACAACAAACCAAACCAATAACATCTGCACAATGCGTGATATTTTAGCAAAAAAATAAAATAAAATAAAATCGTAACCGATTGGTTAGAAATTTCCGACCATAAAACCCATTCACATACACAACATCACCTTCTTAGACGAAGGACGGTATTTGATACAGCTAGCGTTTGTTCAATTCGTTGACCTCACGCTGTGCTGCATCCCGAATTGTTGTATAGTACCTACCTTTCATTGCCTGTGACAAAACGGAACATTTCTTACAAGGAAATCGCTTTGGCCACTCGAATAAACCTTGGCTCCCTCAGATTGTCGTCTGCTTGAGCCCTTCAACTAACATTTATCCAGGAAGCGGTTCCACGCAGATGACGCTGTTGTTAGCAGAAGTGCAAGTTTGGCTCAAGTTACTTGGCACCATGTTTTTCGTTTTGATGCTATCAAGCACTGATGGGACAAAATGCACTAATTTTGATAGCAACTATGTGAAAAGGAAACACCGATAACACATGCGCAATGTTTTATTTGATTTGCAATAAACATGAAGGATTAATATCGTTGCCGATTTGTTAAGAATGTTCCGACCATGAGACCCGGATTCGAATCTCACCAGTCACCTACACAGCATCGGCTTCTAAGACAAAATCCGGCATAGCACTTGATCAATTGGCTTATCTCACGGTGTATTGCATCCCGTATTGTTGTATCGTATCAAATTTTCATTGCCTGTGACAACCAAGGAAGATTTTTAACAGTGTTCAAGAAGGGAGTCGCAAAATAGGCAATTTGCAAAAACCCAAAATATACTTTCTTAGCTTATACTTATATGGAAACCACACAACAAAGCGACTAATGTAACAAATTATAATAATCTATATATGGAAACCACACAACAAAGCGACTAATATAACAAATTATAATAATCTATATATGGAAACCACACAACAAAGCGACTAATATAACAAATTATAATAATCTATATATGGAAACCACACAACAAGCGACTAATATAACAAATTATAATAATCTGTATATGGAAACCACACAACAAAGCGACTAATATAACAAATTATAATAATCTGCATATGGAAACCACACAACAAAGCGACTAATATAACAAATTATAATAATCTGCCGTGTCGTGCAACGTTCTTAAGTAACGTCTGGATATGACTGCTTTCAATTGCGTCTGGCAGTGGAGCATCTCGGAACTTACAAACCGTTTTGGACTTTACTTCTTTCAAACGATATTTATACGGTAAGCGGTTCCACAGAAATGACGCTGTTGTTGCAGAGGTACCAAGGTGACTCCAGTCGCTTGGGATCACGTTCTTCGAGAAGAGTATTTATGTGCACAAGAATGGAGAGAGTGCGTAAAATATCCATAAGATGAGAATAGACAAATGGGAGTTTTTTGGAGGGTTTTTTTTTTTCTGCATAACGCCTTTTACCGCCGCCTACACCCAATGGAGTAGCCACGTTTAGTGGTTACACTAAGGAAAAAATATCTTCATAACGAAAAAATTGAAACGAAAGATTCATTCAGTTAGTCTTCAACTGGTTTATATAGTTCTTTGGTACAGCAAATATTAACCCTTCCCGCATCAATATCTATAGGGACATTGTGCCTCGCTTAATAATTTGGTTTCACAGTTCTTCGGTATCAGCAAATCTGGTGGCAGCAGATGTGTTTTGTGATGTCAACGAACACTCGTTTGACACTTTTGTGATGCCAACGAATACTCGTTGTCACTTTCGTGATGCTCATTGTAGTAGAGACTTTGTAATCGCAGATCCAACTATAGTACGGCGTTGAACAATACTAGTGTCAGACGCCTTTGAATATCACTCGTACTAATAGTACTTGCCCGATAATACACGCTCGAATAGTAATCCGTATAGTGATCTGAATAGAGAAATAATATAGTGAATAGAGTAGAGGATAGCGGTATGTATATTAATAGAGGATAGACTAGAAACAGAGATCGTTTAGATGCCACGCGACTTCCTACTTATGCGTTTTTCTCATGGTCACGTGGTCTACTTAATTCAATAATGGGATCGCCTGTGTTTGCTCACTGGCGATCTATGTTCAAACTCAGGTGTCGGCAGCGACACTTTATTCCTATATAACAATGTCGATTCCAGATGCACCCGATGCGGGGCTCGCAGCCCAATAATAAAAACTAAACACATGAAAATGAATTTATACATTTTCTTTGTTCTTGAGAATTGACAACAAAAATAATGAACACTAATTATTTATGAGGTTGTTTATTTAAAGCAGTTATTTATTAGACTGTTTATCGGAATGGTTGGCAAAACAGCCCGTTTATTCGAACTTTATAAACTGGTAAATATTAAGGATTTCCGTATAGTTGATTCATCTATTTTAATAATTTAGTATCGTCCGATTCACAGTCCTACCTAACCGTCTGACCGGGAGTAAACAGAAGACCAGGGAGGATTTTGGAAGGAACCGAAAACGCGATCCTAAACAGGAAGCAGGGGATAAACCTCTACTCCTGTTTAAAAGACCGGGGAGGATTGTAAACCGGACGATAAGTGGACCTATCTACTCTTTTCCTGTTTAGGATTGCGTTTCCAGTTCCTTCTAAAGTCTTTTCCTTCTCTTTCACTTTCAGTAATCCCTTGCGTCAAAGTGGAGTTATCGCCTTACTTGGGGTGAATAGATTAAAAATTATCTGTATAAATTTATGAATAGAAAATTGTTTTCATATTTATTATGTTTGTTCATATGCTAGTTCTTTTTTACGGCTTATCAACCTATTGTAGGTTATTTGAAACCAGAAAATATTTTTAGCTTGTTAGAATTTTGGGGAGATAATAATGATTTTTACTGATACAAGTTCAACTAATTAACCCATAGGTGGGGAGGATAAATGGCGGATTCATAGCTTTTCCAAAGGTATTTTAGAACAAGTAAATATAACGAACCCGGTCGGGAATATAAGTCAGTTCTGCAATTCCGAGTAATTTATCACACTAGCTGCACATGGGAGCTTGCAAACCCTGGTCACCCATCCAGGTACTGACCAGGCACGACATTGCTTAAGTTCGATGATCGTACGAGTACCGATATATATATATATATATATATATATATATATATATATATATATATATATATATATATATAGCTAATATTAGTGGTAAATATACACATACATATGCAAAAATATATAAATATATATACATAGTTGCATACACATACATATATATTTTTTGAATAAATTCAAGAGGATAGAATTCAGGTAGAGCTCAATCTCCAGGACAGAGTAAGGATATAATAAAAAAGGCTTGAACACTAATATTCCATGGTCATAATTTATTACATTTTATATATATATATATATATATATATATATATATATACATGTCTCATTAAATAATTTAAACAAGTTTTGTCAACTTATTTTTAATAGGATCCTCTCGTAACAAAATCCTGATGACGACATTGTGCTAATGTCGAAAGAACCCAGAAGAAAATCAATATGCATCAACATGGTAATTTTCTTTCTTCCTTTAATGAGGATACTAAGAAATTTGTCCGTAATTATAAGAGAATTCTATTAAAAATAAGTAAACAAAACTTTTCTAAATTATTTAATGACAGGTGTCTTAATGAAAACTTCCTGCCAAAATATACGCAATATATATATATATATATATATATATATATATATATATATGTGTGTGTGTGTGTGTGTGTGTGTGTGTGTGTGTGTGTGTGTGTGCGCGCGCGTGTTGTTTATTGTTGCAAAGATAATTTGTCGAAGTTTCTTGTAGCTATCTAACAGTATACGAAAATAAAAAGTATACTACAACAGTGTATATATATATATAAGCGGACATTCAGGTCAATACCAGGCGGCGACATTCTGTTTCATGCTTTGAAAGCCTGACGATTGTATTTAATCATGAAACACTAATGTGCGATGGCACGGCAACTGAGAATCACCAATCTAGACTATGTACCCAAACATATATTAAAAAAAATAATTTAAACGTTTAAAATTTTAACGTTCCCTCGCCTTCGTACGCATGCGTAGTTAATTCAACGTAAGCATCACTTTAGTCTGATGAAGTCCTAAATGACGAAACGCGACGTGCTATTTTTTTTTTTTACACTTTGACAGTAATTTTCCTACTTTTCTTACTTTTTGTAATAAAAAAAAAACACATTTGACTTATATGCATCTCATAAAACTTATATTAGTGAAAATACAAAGACGGAAGTACTTAATATATAAGAATACACATTTAGTGTTTGGGTGTGTGATAGAGAGTGGGAGAAGAGGGATAGGAAGAGTGAAAGGATAAGAACGCAAACAGATATTTTTTTATGGTGAAGTTCCACCGTTGCTTCAGCTTCCTATGCTTTAGCGACTCCATTTTTTTTTTCTTTCTCGTTTTTTTCTTGTATTTTTATTTATTTTGCTTTTTGTCTCCATTCGTATCTACATAAAGTTGTCTTTGAATTCTGCTTGCTTTTTGTTTTATGTTTTAGATTATATTTTTTTTTACGTCGGGAGATAACCCAAAACGAATAGAAAACAATTGCTTTTCCTCCTCATCCTCTCTCTCACCCCCCGCTCTCTCTCTCTCTCTCTCTCTTTCTCTCTCTTTCTTTCTTTCTTTCTTCTCTATCTCTCTATCTATCTCTCTACTGCACCCTTTTCCCCCCTCATTCGTTCTCTTTTTTTTTTCTCTCTTTTTATCCTCTTCGCTTTTATTCTCTCAACTTTTACTTTTCACGTTGGAAGATAACCCAAAACGAAGAAAAACAATTCCATTTTCCTCCTCCTCCTCCTCTCTCTCTCACTCTCTTTCTCTCTCTGTCTCTCTCACACACACACACACACACACACAAACACGCAGACTCTTTCTTTCTTTCTTCCTCTCTCTAATTCACTCTCTATATCTCTACCTCGCCCTTTTTCCCTCATTCGTTCTTTTTCGTTCTCTTTCTCTTCTCTTTTATACTTTCAACTATATTTTTATTTTTTTACGTCGGGAAATAACCGAAAACAAACAGAAAACAATTGCTTTTCTCTCTCTCTCTCTCTCTCTCTCTCTCTCTCTCTCTACTTTTCTTTCTCTTACTAATTAACTCTCTATCTATCTAGCTATATCTCTATCTATATCTCTACATCGCCCTCATTCCCTCATCCGTTTTCTTTCTCTTTGTATCCTCTTCTTTTTTTTTACTCTCGACCTCTCTCCATTTCTACTCTTATCATTTCTTTTTCTTCTTCTTCTTCTTCTTCTTCTTCTTCTTCTTCTTCTTCTTCTTCTTCTTCCGCTGCTGCTGTTGTTAGCGTTGTTAGACGCGCCATTGTCTGATTTGCGTCAGTTTAATAATAATCGAGGAGAAAGCAGAATAGACTCTAGCGCCACCTAGGCTCGACTCGAGGCAACAACATGGCGGCACAGAACGTGGCGCTGCTGTCAAAGTTGCAGTATCGGCATCGTCTGCGCGGAACATAATAGAATTCTTCTTGCCGAAATGTGAAACTTTGGCTATATGGAATGGCAACCAGTTCAGGTTCGGGTCTGGGTTAGGGTGGGTTGTCGTGGACGGTGGTTGGGTAGCGAAAACCAAATAGAAAGTGGTCGGGCAAAAACGGCGCACGAGGGTCGGGATGAAAGTCTGCGGACGACTTAGTGGTTCCATAAAAGAATAGCAAACCATTGTATCTCGTCTTTTCTTCTTTTCTTTCTCTCTCTCTCTCTCTCTCACGATTGCTGGGTATGGATGGCAAAAAGTGATTTTTTTCTTGTTCTTTTTTTCTCGTTCGTTCATCATTGTTTATATACACTGTTTCAGTATTCTTTTTATTTTCGCATACTGTTAGACAGCTACAAGAAACTTCGACAAATTATCTTTGCAACAATAAACAACACCCACACCCACATAGATACATACATACACTCATATATATATATATATATAGAGAGAGAGAGATGTACATTGTATATATATATATGTATAGATATTTATGCATACAGAGATAAACAGATAGTTACATGTTAGCTCAAATATCTATCTATCTATAATAATCTTAGAGCGTATGCTTTGATATATTTAAAGTATCTATAAAATGTTCGTATGTAATTCATATAAACATTCAACAATATATAACTAAATGTATATATATATCTTTTGTGTGCATTCGTGTG